CACCTTAGAGTTAGGGTGAGGAGCTTAGACGTTTGGGGGGGATCTTGGAGTAGAGTAGCTGCTCCTTCGCATCAAATGAGTAGTAGAAAGAATGGTTCAGACATCTGATTAGGGTTCACCAGGACGCCTCCCTTTGGACGTTTTCTGGGCATATCCAACTTGGAGGAGACCCTGGGGTAGACCCAGAGTTCACTGGAGGGATTATATATCCCGTCTAGCCTGAGAACGCCTCAAACAACACCCCTGTCCTTCACACCTTCCAGCCTCCCTTTGTATTTTTTCCCTCCCCCACGGTGAACTTTTTGGACACTGGTTCCGCACCACAGGAATGCACTTCCCCCTCTGAGGTGAATTGCTCCAACCCCCCCCCCCCGACTCTAACAACTGGCCAGGTGAAGAGACAGCTGGAGAAACTAAACTACACATTAACAAGGCTCCAGGCCCGGACGGATTATGGACCAGTGGCTCTCACATCTCATGTGATGAAAGTGTTGGAGAGGCTAGTCTTGACCCACCTCAGGCCTCAGGTGAAACCATCCCTTGACCCTCTACAATTTACCTACCAGCCACACCTGGGAGTGGACGATGCCATCATCTACCTTCTGCAGCATTCTCACTCACATCTGGAGGGAAACGGCTGCACTGTGAGAATCACTTTTTTTGATTTCTCCAGTGCATTCAACACCATCCAGCCACAACTGCTGGAAGAGAAGCTGCAGTTGATGGGTGTGGACTCGTCCATCACCTCCTGGATTACTGACTACCTGACAGACAGACCACAGTTTGTCCGACTTGGCAGTGTTCAATCTGGAATGGTGGAGAGCAGTACATGAGCTCCACAGGGTACTGTGCTGTCTCCTTTCCTTTTCACCTTGTACACCTCTGACTTTCAGTACAACTCCAGGTCATGCCACTTGCAGAAGTTTTCTGATGACTCTGCGGTGGTGGGGTGTATAAGTGATGGGCAAGAGGGGGAGTACAGAGAGCTGGTGGATAACTTTGTGGAGTGGACAGGAAGAAATCACCTGATTCTGAACTTGGATAAGACCAGGGAGATGGTGATCGACTTCAGAAGGAAGAGGACAGAGCCACCACCGCTGTGCATCCTGGGAGAGGACGTGTCTGTGGTGGAGGAGTACAAGTACCTGGGTGTCAACATAGACAACAAACTGAACTGGAAGGCCAACACTCAGGCTGTGTACAAGAAGGGGATGAGCCGACTCCACTTTCTGAGGAAGCTGAGAGCCTTCAACGTGTGCAGCAAGATGTTGGAGATCTTCTATCAGTCTGTTGTGGCCAGTGCACTGTTCTCTGCTGTGGTCTGCTGGGGGAGCAGCATTGGAGCTGGTGACACTAAGAGACTGGACAAACTCATCAAGAAGGCCTGCTCTGTGATAGGCTGCAAGCTGGACTCTTTTGTAGTGGTGACAGAGAGGAGGACTCTTAACAAACTGTTATCCATTATGGATAATCCTGATCACCCTCTGCACACCCTACTGGACAAACAGCGGAGCAGCTTCTCCAACAGATTGATACAACTGTCACAAGGACAGATACAAGAAATCTTTCTTACCGAAGGCCATAACTCCGTACAACAGCTCACCTCATGCGAGCAGAGAACTGTTATCATGATAATATCTATAATAACTGTCTCTCCATACTGTAATCTATTCTGCACATGTTAAATTTACAAACTATCCCTGCACTCATGTTCACTTCCTTTGTCTGTCTACTCGCCGTTATATTGTATAGTTTCTGCTTATAATATGTCTACACTCATGCACTTTAACTTATGTCAATACTGTCCATTTACAACTCTGTTTTTGCACATTTACATTTAATATTTAATATTTAATTTACTACCATTTATGACTCTGTTTTTGCACATTTACATTTAATCTTTCAAATTTAATTTATAACCATTTATGACTCTGTTTTTGCACATTTACATTTAATCTTTCATATTTAATTTATAACCATTTATGACTCTGTTTTTGCACATTTACATTTAATCTTCGTATTTAAGACTAGTAATGCTTAGTTAAATCGTGGTTGAATATATTCACATTCTTAGTTACCCTTGTAACTAGCAGTTGTTCACATTGTTTCTCTGAGGAACATCGTCAGGTTTGTTGTTTAGTTTTCTTTACGATAGTTAAAAGATGTTTCTGAGTACTCTGAAGTTTTAATGTGGCTGATTTCAGACAAAGGTTTGCAGACAAAAAGAGTCTTTTTCTTTTTTCTTTATCCGTAATTGGTGAAAATTTCCCTCTTTAATTAGAACCATTCAAACATCCAATAATAGTTGGCTTAATTTATGTTCATATATTACAGATGTTCAAATACTTTTTGGACACCAGGTGTTATAAACCGATCCAATCTGTTATTTTACTGAAGCTTCAGTATATATATGCAATCAGTTGCATCAGACGTACAAATCCATCAAACGAACTCTGCAAGCCGTCTGAAGAGAAATATTTATTTATGACAACCTTTAATGTTTGTTAACACGACGTGCATGACTTCGTCTGCTTTGTTTGATCATTAAAATAAATCATACAGTATCAGTTGTCTTGGACTTTTGTTTATGTTGCCGTGGTAACAAACATGTATGACTGGTTTTTGTTAGAGTCATATCAAAGTTTCAAATTTGGATGTCAACATTTCCTCCACCGATGTTTTACATGAGTCTACCAACATTATGCATGTATCTTTTTATTCTTTATTTTTTATCCTGCACTACGAGCCAAATGCAACGAAATTTCGTTCTTATCTGCACTGTAAAGTACAAGTTTGAATGACAATAAAGAAAGACTAAGTCTAATGAATGAACCTGCTGCTCCTGTGTCTGTGTGTGTCGCCCCCTGCTGGTCACAGTCTGTCAGTACAGCTCTCTGCAGTTTCTTTGTCTTCATTGTGTCTGTTCAGATGCCGAACACAAGAGAAACCAGGAGGATAAAATCCCACAGAAGAGAGATTTCTGTGATGGCTGATATTTTTTTTATGTGGCCTGATAACTTCTCTTTATTGGGGATTTTTATTTTTTCAAATACAGATTAAAAAAAAAGAAATCTGACATATGTTTATTCATACCTCAAACCAACACAAAAAACTAAATGATAATAAATAAATAAAAATATAAGATATAAAAAAAACAAGTAAAAACAAATATAATACCAAAATAATAAGATAAAAAGATTGAAATAGTAATAATAATACAACTTGGAAGATGTCTAGTGCTCTGGATTTTACTAAATTATTATTTTTTCACAGGGTTGTTTTTGTTATAGTAGTCTATAAATGGCTGCCGTATTGAGTAAAACATATTTATCTTTCCTCTCAGGGTAAATTTTATTTTTTCTAACTGCAAATGCTTCATTACGTCATTCATTAAAGCTTGACAAACTGGAGGATTTTTTTGTTTCCAGTTCAGCAGAATTATTCTTCCTGCTAACAGTGTTACGAAGCATATCACATTCTTCTGGTTGTTTGATAAAGAGAGCTCCATAGCAGCTGACCCAACCCCAAACATTGCAAGAACTGGGTCTGGATTGATATGTTTCTGGAAGATCTCAGACAAACTTTGGAATATCTTGATCCAGTAGTTGGCGATGCTTGGACAAGTCCAGAACATACCGTAAAATCCGGAATATAAGACGCACCGGTATATAAGACTCACCCTGTTTTTAAGGTCTCTTGAAGAGAAAAAAAAACTTTAAACTGTTTTCCTGGGTGAGGATTTATATTGTGTTCAGCGATGTCTACAACATGCAGTTTCTGTGCAGCTGTGTCGTTCTTTTAGTTCTGTTTTCTCTTTGTGGAGTTTGCACTCCTACTAGTTACAGTACGGTAGTTAAGCTCTCAGCCTGCTGCAGAGAAAGTTGGCAGAGGCACAGACCTGCTAGCTTGCAAGCTAGCTCGCTCTGCCCGACTCTGCTGGTCACTCTTTAACTTTAATATGACTCTTTCAATCAAAAGAGAACTTCACAAGGTTTATTTACGGAACAATATACCACTGTTTTCTGTAAATGCATGATTATGACCTCGTTAGGGAGAAAAGATGTGGAAAAAGTCGAGCAGCCAGCCCAAGACTGTATGTCTGCAGCCTGGTCTGTGTCCCCGTCTTTCCCAGCACAGCGTGCACTCAGCTTTCAATACACAATGAATGGGGATGTGTTTTTAATCACGTCAGGTCGCAGTGATAGTGGCTGCTGCACCCGCTGTAATGACGGCGCATGTTTCAGTATTTTATACTGGTATATTGGTCGCACCGGTGTTTAAGATGCAGCCAACTTTTAAGACGAAAAAATAGGTATTAAAAGTGCGTCTTATACACCGGATTTTATGGTATGTGCGAGTGAGGCTGGTACCTGTCCACAACGATCACAGAGCGGGTTTACAGCAGGGAACCTTTTCGAAAGTTTCAACTTTGATAGATGAAGCCTGTGTCAAGTTTTGAATTGTATCAGTCCATGTCTGGGTTAACCCTAATCCATACAGATGAAGAGTACACACGATCCTGAGCCTTTGTCCATTGGTTTCCTGAGATTTCCACTTCAAGGTCCTCCTGCCAAGCCTCTTTTAGATGTTCAAGTGTGGCTGTACAGTACATTTGTGACAGAATGTTATAAATCTTAGATATAGACCCTTTTTATAATGGATCGGGTAGGAGCACTGAGTTCGCGGGGCTGAGCCGGGAAGGACGGGAACCTTTCCTTAACTAAACTTCAGATTTGCAAATATTTGAAGAAGTTTCTATTGGGCATGCTGAATTTTTCCTGTAACTGACGAAATATTTTAAAGATCTTATCAGTGAACAGATCTTGTATGGATTGTATTCCTTTCAGGTGCCATTGGTTAAAATGTAGAATCTAAAAGTGAAGGAGTGAATGTATGATTGTTATTCAGTGGAGTGTGTACTGAACATTTTTTCCAATGAAAGTGTTTCCTTATCTGGGTCCAGATTTTCACTGAATGGGAAACAACTGGATTGGAGTAGGTAATGTTGAATATATCAGAGTTTTTAGTGAAGTGGGGTGATGGCTGTTAGTTTTTGGTCTTCATATTTAAAACACGTCGACTTCTCTCAACCAACTGAAGACAAAGAACCAAATGGTCTGACTGAGCAACAGCTTAATGAACTTTTGATCATCAGAGGTTTCAATCATCAATCTCTCTTAAATATTCATGTAAGGTCATTAAGCGTGCACTCACACTTGGCACGGTACAACTTTGCCTAATTGTGAGTACGCATTAAGATGATTGTAAGCAGTCAACGTTGAAAACATTGCAGAGTGTCTGTCAATGCAACAATAGGAAAACACGTTTATTTAATGTTCTGAAAACACTAAAAGTTTTCCACTTAAGGTTTGTCATCTCGTTTCTCGAGCTCTCTGTGGTTTCCCGGGCCGAGCTCTGGTCCTAGTCTGAGCTCTGGTCCTGGTCTTCCTCCTAAGAGGTGATTTGTCGCTGAAGACTCGTCTCTCCACGCTCAGCACCTCGTCGTACAGGTACCCCGGCGTCACGTCAAGAAGGAAGCTGAAGAGCTTCAGCAGCCAGATGAACGTCCGCGGCAGCGTCGGCTCCACCTCCGAGTAATGACTCCTACAATTCCTGTACAGAAGAAGAAAAGAAGGGCTCTTGTTGGTCTTAAAGTCTGCAGCAGGTAAACAGACTGTAACGTCTGCAGGTAAACAGACTGTAATGTCTGCAGCGGGTAAACAGACTGTAATGTCTGCAGCGGGTAAACAGACTGTAACGTCTGCAGGTAAACAGACTGTAACGTCTGCAGGTAAACAGACTGTAATGTCTGCAGCGGGTAAACAGACTGTAACGTCTGCAGCGGGTAAACAGACTGTAACGTCTGCAGCGGGTAAACAGACTGTAACGTCTGCAGCGGGTAAACAGACTGTAACGTCTGCAGCGGGTAAACAGACTGTAATGTCTGCAGCAGGTAAACAGACTGTAATGTCTGCAGCGGGTAAACAGACTGTAACGTCTGCAGGTAAACAGACTGTAATGTCTGCAGCAGGTAAACAGACTGTAACGTCTGCAGGTAAACAGACTGTAATGTCTGCAGCAGGTAAACAGACTGTAATGTCTGCAGCGGGTAAACAGACTGTAACGTCTGCAGCGGGTAAACAGACTGTAACGTCTGCAGCGGGTAAACAGACTGTAATGTCTGCAGCAGGTAAACAGACTGTAACGTCTGCAGGTAAACAGACTGTAACGTCTGCAGCAGGTAAACAGACTGTAATGTCTGCAGCGGGTAAACAGACTGTAATGTCTGCAGCGGGTAAACAGACTGTAATGTCTGCAGCGGGTAAACAGACTGTAACGTCTGCAGGTAAACAGACTGTAACGTCTGCAGCGGGTAAACAGACTGTAACGTCTGCAGGTAAACAGACTGTAATGTCTGCAGCAGGTAAACAGACTGTAAAGCCTGCAGCGGGTAAACAGACTGTAACGCCTGCAGCGGGTAAACAGACTGTAACGTCTGCAGCAGGTAAACAGACTGTAACGCCTGCAGCGAGTAAACAGACTGTAACGTCTGCAGGTAAACAGACTGTAACGCCTGCAGCGAGAAAACAGACTGTAACGTCTGCAGGTAAACAGACTGTAACGCCTGCAGCGAGAAAACAGACTGTAACGTCTGCAGGTAAACAGACTGTAACGCCTGCAGCGAGAAAACAGACTGTAACGTCTGCAGGTAAACAGACTGTAACGTCTGCAGCGAGAAAACAGACTGTAACGTCTGCAGGTAAACAGACTGTAACGCCTGCAGCGAGAAAACAGACTGTAACGTCTGCAGGTAAACAGACTGTAATGTCTGCAGGTAAACAGACTGTAACGTCTGCAGCAGGTAAACAGACTGTAACGTCTGCAGGTAAACAGACTGTAACGCCTGCAGCGAGAAAACAGACTGTAACGTCTGCAGGTAAACAGACTGTAACGCCTGCAGCGAGAAAACAGACTGTAACGTCTGCAGGTAAACAGACTGTAACGCCTGCAGCGAGAAAACAGACTGTAACGTCTGCAGGTAAACAGACTGTAACGCCTGCAGCGAGAAAACAGACTGTAACGTCTGCAGGTAAACAGACTGTAATGCCTGCAGCGAGAAAACAGACTGTAACGTCTGCAGGTAAACAGACTGTAATGCCTGCAGCGAGAAAACAGACTGTAACGTCTGCAGGTAAACAGACTGTAATGTCTGCAGGTAAACAGACTGTAACGTCTGCAGGTAAACAGACTGTAACGTCTGCAGGTAAACAGACTGTAACGTCTGCAGCGGGTAAACAGACTGTAACGTCTGCAGCGGGTAAACAGACTGTAACGCCTGCAGGTAAACAGACTGTAACGTCTGCAGGTAAACAGACTGTAACGTCTGCAGCAGGTAAACAGACTGTAACGTCTGCAGCAGGTAAACAGACTGTAATGTCTGCAGCGGGTAAACAGACTGTAACGCCTGCAGGTAAACAGACTGTAACGTCTGCAGGTAAACAGACTGTAACGTCTGCAGGTAAACAGACTGTAATGTCTGCAGCAGGTAAACAGACTGTAACGTCTGCAGCAGGTAAACAGACTGTAATGTCTGCAGCGGGTAAACAGACTGTAACGCCTGCAGGTAAACAGACTGTAACGTCTGCAGGTAAACAGACTGTAACGTCTGCAGGTAAACAGACTGTAACGTCTGCAGGTAAACAGACTGTAACGTCTGCAGCGGGTAAACAGACTGTAACGTCTGCAGCGGGTAAACAGACTGTAACGTCTGCAGCGGGTAAACAGACTGTAACGCCTGCAGGTAAACAGACTGTAACGTCTGCAGGTAAACAGACTGTAACGTCTGCAGGTAAACAGACTGTAATGTCTGCAGCGGGTAAACAGACTGTAATGTCTGCAGCAGGTAAACAGACTGTAACGTCTGCAGCGGGTAAACAGACTGTAACGTCTGCAGGTAAACAGACTGTAACGTCTGCAGCGGGTAAACAGACTGTAACGCCTGCAGGTAAACAGACTGTAACGTCTGCAGCGGGTAAACAGACTGTAACGTCTGCAGGTAAACAGACTGTAACGTCTGCAGCGGGTAAACAGACTGTAATGTCTGCAGCAGGTAAACAGACTGTAATGTCTGCAGCAGGTAAACAGACTGTAATGTCTGCAGCGGGTAAACAGACTGTAACGTCTGCAGGTAAACAGACTGTAACGTCTGCAGGTAAACAGACTGTAACGTCTGCAGGTAAACAGACTGTAATGTCTGCAGCAGGTAAACAGACTGTAACGTCTGCAGCGGGTAAACAGGCTGTAACGTCTGCAGCGGGTAAACAGACTGTAACGTCTGCAGGTAAACAGACTGTAACGTCTGCAGCGAGTAAACAGACTGTAACGTCTGCAGGTAAACAGACTGTAACGTCTGCAGGTAAACAGACTGTAACGTCTGCAGGTAAACAGACTGTAATGTCTGCAGGTAAACAGACTGTAATGTCTGCAGCAGGTAAACAGACTGTAACGTCTGCAGCGGGTAAACAGGCTGTAACGTCTGCAGCAGGTAAACAGACTGTAACGTCTGCAGGTAAACAGACTGTAACGTCTGCAGGTAAACAGACTGTAACGTCTGCAGGTAAACAGACTGTAACGTCTGCAGCGAGTAAACAGACTGTAACATCTGCAGGTAAACAGACTGTAACGTCTGCAGCAGGTAAACAGACTGTAATGTCTGCAACAGGTAAACAGACTGTAATGTCTGCAGGTAAACAGACTGTAACGTCTGCAGCAGGTAAACAGACTGTAATGTCTGCAACAGGTAAACAGACTGTAATGTCTGCAGGTAAACAGACTGTAATGTCTGCAGCAGGTAAACAGACTGTAACGTCTGCAGCAGGTAAACAGACTGTAACGTCTGCAGCTAAACAGACTGTAACGTCTGCAGCAGGTAAACAGACTGTAACGTCTGCAACAGGTAAACAGACTGTAACGTCTGCAACAGGTAAACAGACTGTAATGTCTGCAGGTAAACAGACTGTAACGTCTGCAGGTAAACAGACTGTAACGTCTGCAACAGGTAAACAGACTGTAACATCTGTTAGCAGGTAATGTGACACATCTGAACTTTTAAACATGTAAAACCTAAACTTTGTAAACGTTAGGGTCCCTTATGTAGTTTTTTTTCCCTCGTCCCTTCACAGCCGACCTACCTGCTGATGCAGGGTTTCAGTGCTGGATGCCAGTATGTCGGGTTAGATGGGGTCAGCACGTCATTCTTCATGGTTACAGCTCCACCCAGTTTCATGTGGTGCATGCTGGGACCATCAGCTCCGTCTTCGCCCCCCCAATAGAACCTGAAGCTGGACGGACTGCCTGGCTCTGCAGCTGTTGGGCGAGAGGAGAGCTTCTCGAAACAGAGCTGCAGCTGTTCGGCTATCCCTGCACACACAAACACAAACTCTGAGCCCATTTTCAACAGCGTCACAAGTTTGTTACGTGAAACAATACAAGGTATCATCAACACATGTTGACGTGTCATTCACAGACTTCTTCTCTAACTCAGATTCTTACGTCTCTTTTTGGTCATGACGTATTTCTCCTTCCTGTTCATGTGGAGAGGTTTCTTTGACCTCCACTGTTTCCTGTCAAGAGACACAGAAAATAAAAGCCTGTAAATATAAGTGATGGAGTTATTTTTAAGTTTCTGTGCCTTTATTGGAGCGATAGGACAGTGGATAGAGTTGGAAATAAGGGAGAGAGAGAGTGGGGAATGACATGCTGATTTTAAAACAACATCTTTAAAAGACAGGGGTGCAGGAGAGGAAGTCATCCCTTAACCCGACAGGAGTGTAGGACTCGTGCTGTTCATACTTTAGTATCTACAGTCGGTGTCTCACCTGGCGAGGTCTCGGTCTCTCCTGTCCTGAGCTCGGATCAGAGCGGCCTGCAGAAGTCTGAACCACCTCCTCAGGCTGAACACGCTTCCTGTCAAACAAATCAAACGCTATTTAACCGTTAAGAAACACGGACGGATAGACCCATCCTCAGAACGAGAGTATTCTTCAACTTCTGTCATTTTTCTTTTTCTTCAGAGGATTTTCAAATAAGAGCTTGTTTTTAAACAATGATCAAATGTGAATTGAAAGTTATGTCTTAAAGGCTGAATGTGCAACATTTCACATTTAAATGTAGAAATCAAGTCTATCCTCTGAAAATAACTCTGTGAGTCATGACTGTCTACAATGGGTGTAACACCCGAGTCCCACTGTCTGTGATGTTTTCAGAGTTTTCAGAGTCCTATCTTCACTTTGTTTACATCGTCGGGACGGCCGGCTGACTCCTCCCCTCGTGTATAAAAGTTGTTTAATTGAGGGACTAGAGAAAAGAAGAATAACATACTGTACTCACTGCTTAACTGTGTTTCTAGATCACGCTCATTTCAGGTAAATTTACATGCAGTGTGAAGATACCAGCATAATAAAGATCGCTAGCATTAGCATGCTAACACAACAATGCAGCGTGAGTTGTTTTGGTTTCATGCTGGAACTCAAGGGCGACATCTGCTGGATCAAAAAGTAGCATATTCTTCCATTAAAGAGATAATAACAGGTTTAATATTCATTCACCAGCTCACCTGAGTCGTCTTGATCGCCCGCCTCGTTTGATAAATCCCTGAAATACACAAATAAAACACCTTCACAAACTTTGCTAACCCTAACCCATGTTGTTAAAAACTTAATTGAAACAGTCTGAAAAACACGATGTCCTTTCTGATTCGTCTCTGACAAACGTCCAATCAGAAATGTTCCCAGAATGTAATTAAATCATGTCGTGTTCCAACATTGATGAACTTACTGATGTCGTCAGCTGTTATGTTTCTTTTTGTGTGGTTAATGTAATACCTGTGAGGTTGTATTGTTACGGCAACACTGTCCCTGATAGGTTGTATGGCATGGTGGCTGTCAAGCTAACAAGGGGGGCGGGCCTTCCTGCCTGGTTGAATGGCCAATGGCTGGGCAGCCACCGTCTTGATTATCTGCTGGCATGGAAACCTCAGTGTAATCATAGGTGCCCAATAAAGCAGTCTCACTGACCTCTACAACAACATGTTCAGCAAAAGGCAAAAACCATGACGTCAGTCAGTGTTCACCCCCTTCACTGAGTTTCAGTTACTCCCATCGGGTTTTAGATTTCCCTCTTAAATCCAACAGCTACAAATACAGTGCCATTTCCCTCCTTAGTTAAGGTCGGTTATGAAGGCTGATCTTATTGTGTTTTTGTATGATTTGTATCCGACTGTGTTGTAAGACGCACTTTTGATTCTTATCCCTGATGTATACTAACAGTGAGTGCCTCTTATATTTTCACTCTGTGTACTTTTGTCCTTTGTCTTTTTACTGTGTGCAAAACCAATCGCCCTCCAGGGACAAATCAAGTTGAAATCCTCGTAATCATTGGTCGACTCAATTTTGATTGGAGGATCAGATCAGATTTACCACTCCGTGTGGTCGTCCAGGCCAAAGACCAGCTTCATGGTGACGATGACCAAGGCCGCGGTCTGCACGTCGTACCGTGGCAGGACGGAGTGAGATGAAGGGTCCAAAGTGTGGAGTGTTTGATCTGCCATGTCAGCATGCTCCATCAGCCTGCAGAGCCATGGGTGAAGATCATCTGAGAGGAGATAAATAATAATCAATATCATCCAAACGTCAAAGAGTCAGCTCACAACGTCTAACATTCATGAGTGCTGTTACCGGGCAGATTAGCGTCTGTCAGGTAGCGCAGGCTGAGCAGGGCGGGGTGTAGCAGACTCTGACGGCTGATTGGAGGAAAAGCAGGAAGTTTGAGCAACAGAATGAGCTTAAGAGCTTCCTGATGCACTGCCCGGTGAGACGGGACGCTCTGAAGAGGAAAACAAATGTATGTCAAACAAACGTTATCAGACAAGAGACCTGAACAGAGAATCAAGATGTGACTTCTATCTGACCTCCACTCTGAAGATCAGCGAGTCTTTGCCTTCCAGCTTCATCTCTTCAGGAAGTTCCTCGTGAGCGTTGACGTATGGGACGTGACCTTCCTTCACCAACCTGAAACCAAACACAGCCAACGGTTCCAGAACCTTCCAACACTTTGCAGGACCAAAATGGAGAGGTAACCCTAACCCGAGCAGGTGTGTTTAGTTACCTGAGCAGGTGTGTGTGTGTGTTTAGTTACCCGAGCAGGTGTTTAGTTACCTGAGCAGGTGTGTGTGTGTGTTTAGTTACCCGAGCAGGTGTGTGTGTGTGTTTAGTTACCTGAGCAGGTGTGTGTGTGTGTTTAGTTACCTGAGCAGGTGTGTGTGTGTGTGTTAGTTACCTGAGCAGGTGTGTGTGTGTGTTTAGTTACCTGAGCAGGTGTGTGTGTGTGTTCAGTTACCTGAGCAGGTGTGTGTGTGTGTTCAGTTACCTGAGCAGGTGTGTGTGTGTGTTCAGTTACCTGAGCAGGTGTGTGTGTGTGTTCAGTTACCTGAGCAGGTGTGTGTATTTAGTTACCTGAGCAGGTGTGTGTGTGTGTTCAGTTACCTGAGCAAGTGTGTGTGTGTGTGTGTGTGTGTGTGTGTGTGTGTGTGTGTGTGTGTGTGTAGTTACCTGAGCAAGTGTGTGTGTGATCAGTTCCCTGAGCAGGTGTGTGTGTGTGTTTGTGTTTAGTTACCTGAGCAGGTGTGTGTGTGTGTGTGTGTGTGTGTGTGTTTGTGTTTAGTTACCTGAGCAGGTGTGTGTGTGTGTGTGTGTTTAGTTACCTGAGCAGGTGTGTGTGTGTGTGTGTTTAGTTACCTAAGCAGGTGTGTGTGTGTTCAGTTACCTGAGCAGGTGTGTGTGTGTTCAGTTACCTGAGCAGAAGTGTGTGTGTTCAGTTACCTGAGCAGGTGTGTGTGTGTGTTTATTTACCTGAGCAGGTGTGTGTGTTTAGTTACCTTAGCAGGTGTGTGTGTGTTTAGTTACCTGAGCAGGTGTGTGTGTGTTTAGTTACCTGAGCAGGTGTGTGTGTGTGAGTTTAGTTACCTGAGCAGGTGTGTGTGTGTTTAGTTACCTGAGCAGGTGTGTTCAGTTACCTGAGCAAGTGTGTGTGTGTGTTTGTGTTTAGTTACCTGAGCAGGTGTGTGTGTGTTTAGTTACCTGAGCAGATGTGTGTGTGTGTGTGTGTGTGTGTGTGTGTGTGTGTGGTGTGTGTGTGTGTTTAGTTACCTGAGCAGGTCGCTGAGCGTTAGCGGCTCGCGGCTCCAGGTGAGGGCGATGTGGATAAGGGCCAGAGTCTTCTTCATGCTCATCAGACCGCAGCCTCGCTTCAGCTGCGTCGACAGGTAGGAGGTGGCGTCCACCGAGCCCGAAAACACCGACCAATCACTGTAGCTCTCTGAGCAAGTGAGGGAAAAAATAACAAACTCTGTTAATCAAACTTTAGTTTTATGTCATTATAAACATGAGTACTTGTGCGGGATACGGTACTCAATGCTGGTTTAGGATACCTAAACTGGTAATTGATTTATTTGTCTTTTGGAAATGACTAGCTTTATTTTCACAGGATTATTGGTTGATGGTAGATCAACCACGTTGATCTACCATCAACGTTGTTTGATTGTACCTGCGTTTGATCCGGCGGTGCTGGGCAGGTTCATCTCTCCGTCCGTTTCACTCGTCATGTAGGTTGACGCGGCGCCACTTTCTGAGTCCGAGCCCGGGCGTTTCTGACAGCAGAAGAGAGTTCAGCAATATTTAAAATCTGAATCCTTTAAAATATCTTCAAATAAAGCGTTAAAACTCGCTCTTTTGGTGATTGTATTGTTGATTAAATCACCACCACAACCACCAACAACACCATCACAACAACCATCACAACCAACAACAACACCACCATCACAACCACCAACAACACCACCACACCACCACCACCACCACCATCACAACCACCAACAACACCAACACCACCATCACACCACCATCACAACCACCAACAACACCAACACCACCATCACAACCACCATCACAACCACCAACAACACCAACACCACCATCACAACCACCATCACAACCACCAACAACACCAACACCACCATCACAACCACCATCACAACCACCAACAACACCAACACCACCATCACAACCACCATCACAACCACCAACAACACCAACACCACCATCATAACCACCATCACCACCATCACAACCACCAACACAACCACACCACCATCACAACCACCATCACAACCACCATCACAACCACCACCAACATCAACAACACCACCATCACAACCACTACCACCACAACAACACCACCACCACCACAACCACCAACAACACCAACACCACAACCACCATCACAACCACCACCACCACTATCACCATCACAACCACCACCACCACAACCACCAACAACACCACCATCACAACCACCACCAACACCACCATCACAACCACCACCACCAACACCACCACAACCACCACCACCAACAACACCATCACAACCACCACCATCACAACCACCACAACCACCAACAACACCAACATCACAACCACCACCATCACAACCACCACCACCACCAACAACACCACCATCACAACCACCACCACCACAACCACCAACACCACCACAACCACCACCATCACAACCACCACCAACATCAACAACACCACCATCACAACCACCACCAACACCACCATCACAACCACTACCACAACCACCAACACCACCATCACAACCACCAACAACACCAACACCACCATCACAACCACCACCAACACCACCATCACAACCACTACCACCACCACCACCACACACCACCACCACAACCATCACAACCACCAACAACACCAACACCACCATCACAACCACCACCACCACTATCACCATCACAACCACCACAACCACCAACACCACCACCACAACCATCACAACCACCAACAACACCATCAACACCACCATCACAACCACCAACACCACCATCAACACCACCATCACAACCACCACCAACACCACCATCACAACCACTACCACAACCACCACCAACACCACCACAACCATCACAACCACCAACAACACCAACACCACCATCACAACCACCATCACAACCACCACCACCACTATCACCATCACAACCACCACAACCACCAACACCACCACAACCACCAACACCATCACAACCACCACCACCACTATCACCATCACAACCACCACCAACACCACCATCACAACCACCACCACCACCACCATCACCACTACCACCATCACAACCACCAACACCACAACCACCACATCACAACCACCACCAACACCACCATCACAACCACTACCACAACCACCACCACCAACACCACCATCACAACCACCAACAACACCAACACCACCATCACAACCACCACCAACACCACCATCACAACCACTACCACCACCACCACCACCAACACCACCACCACCACAACCATCACAACCACCAACAACACCAACACCACCATCACAACCACCACCACCACTATCACCATCACAACCACCACAACCACCAACACCACCACCACAACCATCACAACACCAACAACACCATCAACACCACCATCACAACCACCAACACCACCATCAACACCACCATCACAACCACCACCAACACCACCATCACAACCACTACCACAACCACCACCAACACCACCACCACCACAACCATCACAACCACCAACAACACCAACACCACCATCACAACCACCATCACAACCACCACCACCACTATCACCATCACAACCACCACAACCACCACACCACCACAACCACCAACACCATCACAACCACCACCACCACTATCACCATCACAACCATCACAACCACCACCAACACCACCATCACAACCACCACCACCACCACCATCACCACTACCACCATCACAACCACCAACACCACAACCACCACATCACAACCACCACCAACACCATCACAACCACCACCACCACCACCACCACCACCAACACCATCACAACCAACACAATGACCATCACCATTGGCATCACATGACATTTATATAACAAGAACATAAAAGAGTTGAAAACATTTAAAAAGTAATAATATGACGTAAAACAATCTTTGGAGAACTGACCAGTTTAAACTGGGAGCTCCACACTGGTGTGTGTGTGAAGGCCTGATCACTCTTCTGCAGGTAGAGTCTCCACAGCTCACACAGCACCTGGTCCTGACACACACACACACAGGTTACACTCAGTACTGATGACTCAGGGTTTTTTCGTCAGCAGAATAAAGTCAGACCTTGAATTGTGTTTGGACTCCGAGTCTCAGCAGAGCGTCGGCTTGATTCTTCAAGATGAACTGAAAACCTTCACAGACCATCCACAACCGCCCGCGCTCTACACACACACACACACACACACACACACACACACACACACACTTTGATTGGCATGTTTGAAATTTCAAAATAAATGAAAACAGTGAGGAGTGAAAAACGGACCGCTCCTCTTGGTTCTGCTCCCTCTGCCGATGGTGGAGATCCTGGAGGATCCGGGGGTGACGGTAGGGTCCACCACCTCTCTGGTTCTCTGAAGACCAAAGGAAACGGTCACAGGATATAATACATTTATATTTATAAATCTTATACCGTTGGAAAGCCGTTTTAGTTCCCTTTTAAATGGTGCCACATTTGTGGGATGAGCAGCAGAGCTGAGTATGTGAAAAACTTCTCTGCCAAACAGCTTATTCTGCTGTTCACTCTTGTTTGTTGTAGTTTAGTGGATTGGATGAAGTCTGAAGAAACAAGACAGATTGGCAATTCATCAGTTTCTTCATTTAACAAACAGGAGCCTCAGTAGCGTGTAGAAGAACCATACACAGCAGCAGCAGCCTGGCTCCTCCTCCTCCTGCTGGTCACCAGCCTGGCCCCTCCTCCTCCTGCTGGTCACCAGCCTGGCCCCTCCTCCTCCTGCTGGTCACCAGCCTGGCCCCTCCTCCTCCTGCTGGTCACCAGCCTGGCTCCTCCTCCTCCTGCTGGTCACCAGCCTGGCTCCTCCTCCTCCTGCTGGTCACCAGCCTGGCCCCTCCTCCTCCTGCTGGTCACCAGCCTGGCCCCTCCTCCTCCTGCTGGTCACACACTGCTGTGGGATGGCATCTAATTTTTCATCCAGCATTAATCACGTCAGCCAATGTGGTTGTGTTGGTCACTCTGGCATGAACATCACGCCCAAGCTGACCCCACAAAGTGTTCAAAGGGGTAGAGGTCAGGACTGCAGGCGGGACATCCCATCCTCTCCACTCCCAGATTCCCGAAGGTAGTCTCTGATAAACCCCGGTCTGTGGGGTCATCTTGGAGGATAGAGTTCTGTCTCAGACTGTGGAGATAGGGGACTGCCACTGGTTGCAGAACCTCATCTCGATATCTGTCTGCATTGAGATTGACTCTGATGATGACGAGTCTCCTTTTTCCAGTGAGGGAGAACCCGCCCCACACCACCAAAAGCTGTTACCCTATTGGTGCAGCAATCAGCAGAGCGTTCTCAGCGTCACCTCCACACTGTGACCTTATGATCCAACTGCCAGAATCTGGACTCAGCAGAACATAACGTTCCTCCACATGTTCAGGTTCCAGTGCACGTGTTGCCGACAGTAGAACAAACAGGCCTGATGGTGAAGTCATGACAGGCCTCCTGGCAGCCCAATGAGACCAGAGACGGCATATGCAGAGAAGATTTGGCAAGTTGTTCATAGGCGCAACCCACATACTCAGCTCTGCTGCTCATCCCACAGTGTCAGACAACACTGCCACCTGCTGACAGGAGAAGGTAATGCAGCTGGGGGACAACCTAAGGGATGAGTTTAATTTCTCCCTAAACAGATACAAGGACCACAGCCTCCGTAGAAACAAACCACTAGGCCACAGACGCCCTCTGGCAGGTTTCTTAGGTTTTACTCAAACTGACTAACAGGTAACCCAGAGATAGAAAGAGTTAAAACTATTTCCTGTTTACAGCACGTTGGTATGTTTCAGTTACCCGGAGGTCAGAACCCCCCCACATTGTGTCCACATCATTAAGTCCCACAGAGGGGGGGTTAGGGTTAGAGGTCATCATGTGAGGGAGTCCAACAGACCATAATAAGAGCGTAATGGTAACAGTTCATATTAATGAATAACCAGCTTCACAGGACCGTTCAGCGTGATCTCCTTTGCCAGGGTTCGTGAAGACAGATGACCACGAGACCCCCCGCTGTGTAGCGAAGGCATGAACCTGTTCGAATCAGCTGTTGTTGTTTACCTCGATGACGTTGTGGCAGGACCTGCAGTAGAAACGACCCTCATCCGATACGCCCCAAGCCACCGCTGAGCACTGGGCGCAGGGCTCCGTGTACCAGGCCTGCAGGAACACACAGAGATACAGCTGGCTTGATAAACATCTGGAAAACTCTCAACAAGAGGACGAGATGATTAAAGCTTATTGTAGCTATGAAATATAGAAATATTAAATAAACCTCTCTGAACGTTCTCGGAGCAGATTGAACCAATCTTCTTCAGGGCAGTGACCTTTGACCTTTATGAAACAGGATTTTAAACCTGCTAACCTCAGTTTGTTTATTTTATTTCTATTAAACTCACTCTTTAATTATTTTTGGCTTTTTCTTAAACTCTCGTATTTCCTTTACGGTGTCCTGCTGAACGATTCTCTAATTAATTACCTCTTTATCTGATTCTTTAATTACCTCTTTATCTGATTCTTTAATTACCTCTTTATTTGATTCTTTAATTACCTCTTTATCTGATTCTTTAATTATCTCTTTGATTCTTTAATTATCTCTTTATTTGATTCTTTAATTATCTCTTTATTTGATTCTTTAATTATCTATTTGATTCTTTAATTATCTCTTTATTTGATTCTTTAAGTATCTCTTTATTTGATTCTTTAATTATCTATTTGATTCTTTAATTATCTCTTTATTTGATTCTTTAATTATCTCTTTATTTGATTCTTTAATTATCTCTTTATTTGATTCTTTAATTATCTATTTGATTCTTTAATTACCTCTTTATTTGATTCTTTAATTATCTCTTTATTTGATTCTTTAATTATCTCTTTATTTGATTCTTTAATTATCTCTTTATTTGATTCTTTAATTATCTATTTGATTCTTTAATTACCTCTTTATTTGATTCTTTAATTATCTCTTTATTTGATTCTTTAATTACCTCTTTATTTGATTCTTTAATTATCTCTTTATTTGATTCTTTAATCATCTCTTTATTTGATTCTTTAATTATCTATTTGATTCTTTAATTACCTCTTTATTTGATTCTTTAATCATCTCTTTATTTGATTCTTTAATTATCTATTTGATTCTTTAATTACCTCTTTATTTGATTCTTTAATTATCTATTTGATTCTTTAATTACCTCTTTATTTGATTCTTTAATTATCTATTTGATTCTTTAATTATCTATTTGATTCTTTAATTATCTATTTGATTCTTTAATTATCTCTTTATTTGATTATTTAATTATCTCTTTATTTGATTCTTTAATTATCTCTTTATTTGATTCTTTAATTACCTCTTTATTTGATTCTTTAATTACCTCTTTATTTGATTCTTTAATTATCTATTTGATTCTTTAATTATCTATTTGATTATTTAATTATCTCTTTATTTGATTCTTTAATTACCTCTTTATTTGATTCTTTAATTACCTCTTTATTTGATTCTTTAATTATCTATTTGATTCTTTAATTATCTATTTGATTATTTAATTATCTCTTTATTTGATTCTTTAATTACCTCTTTATTTGATTCTTTAATTACCTCTTCATTTAAATATAACCCGTGACCTGTGACCCCTGACCCTCTAACCCAGGAGAGAGAAACAGGCCGTAAAGGGTTAAAATCATTAAAACTAGTAAATCACATGTTTATGTTACGAGAGAGATGACGTCAGCGCTAACACCGTGAGATATTTACCGTCACTTCTTCGTCCATCTTTACCGGGAAACAGCCCGTTAATCTGTCCGGTGTAAACCCCGCAGCGTGTAAGAGTTAAACCGGGAAACAGCCCGTTAATCTGTCCGGTGTAAACCCCGCAGTGTGTAAGAGTTAAACCGGGAAACAGCCCGTTAATCTGTCCGGTGTAAACCCCGCAGTGTGTAAGAGTTAAACCGGGAAACAGCCCGTTAATCTGTCCGGTGTAAACCCCGCAGCGTGTAAGAGTTAAACCGGGAAACAGCCCGTTAATCTGTCCGGTGTAAACCCCGCAGCGTGTAAGAGTTAAACCGGGAAACAGCCCGTTAATCTGTCCGGTGTAAACCCCGCAGCGTGTAAGAGTTAAACCGGGAAACAGCCCGTTAATCTGTCCGGTGTAAACCCCGCAGCGTGTAAGAGTTAAACCGGGAAACAGCCCGTTAATCTGTCCGGTGTAAACCCCGCAGCGTGTAAGAGTTAAACCGGGAAACAGCCCGTTAATCTGTCCGGTGTAAACCCCGCAGCGTGTAAGAGTTAAACCGGGAAAAATCAGCTGCTCTTCTTCCGCACGTGGAGGCTTCGGGTTTGTTTTGTTTCTTCTTCGATCAGTTCCGTAGAATGTTCTGCTGCGCTCTACTGCCGCCACAGGCCGCGACTGTGTGTGTGTGTGTGTGTGTGTGTGTCTCTGTGTGTGTGTGTGTGTGTGTGTGTGTGTGTCTCTGTGTGTGTGTGTGTGTGTGTGTCTCTGTGTGTGTGTGTGTGTGTGTGTGTGTGTGTGTGTGTGTGTGTGTGTGTGTGTGTGTCTCTGTGTGTGTGTGTGTGTGTGTGTGTGTGTGTCTCTGTGTGTGTGTGTGTGTGTGTGTCTCTGTGTGTGTGTGTGTGTGTGTGTGTGTGTGTGTGTGTGTGTGGGTGTGTGTGTGTCTCTGTGTGTGTGTGTGTGTGTGTGTGTGTGTGTGTGTGTGTGTGTGTGTGTGTGTGTCTCTCTGTGTGTGTGTGTGTGTGTGTGTGTGTGTGTGTGTGTGTGTGTGTGTGTGTGTGTGTGTCTGTGTGTGTGTGTGTGTGTGTGTGTGTGTGTGTGTGTGTGTGTGTGTGTCTCTCTGTGTGTGTGTGTGTGTGTGTGTGTGTGTGTGTGTGTGTGTGTGTGTGTGTGTGTGTGTGTCTGTGTGTGTGTGTGTGTGTGTCTGTGTGTGTGTGTGTGTGTGTGTGTGTGTGTGTGTGTCTCTGTGTGTGTGTGTGTGTCTCTGTGTGTGTGTGTGTGTGTGTGTGTGTGTGTGTGTCAGTACAGCGGATCTGGATGATCTCAGATTATATAAATAGAGTTGCCAGATGTCCGTTTTTCTCTCATGTAACCTGAACGCCTCGCGTCTTCCTCACTTTCTTTTTAAAAGTTAAAAGAACATTTTTTTGTTTTTCTGTAAGTTTCGCGATAATAAGAGCGAGATGCGGAGACGGATTTTCAAAATAAATCATTTTCTTTTAATTTAAATTTTATAATTACTCTTCATATTCTCAACTATAATAATAAATAAATTAGATTAATAAATTATATTTAATTCAAAACAAAAACGTGAAAGGGAGACAAACTAAAATAATAAAATATTTAATCAATGAAAGTTTCTTAATGATAAATTTGTGTATATTTTTATACTGTTTTTAGTTTAATTTAATTATTGACTGTTTTATTATAATATGAAATTATTTAGTTTTTTCAGGTTCATGGAATTTAAACTGTTTAATTAATTTATTAATTTAATTCATTATTCTTTTTTTAATGTGTTTTGTAACTATACTGATCTCTGTAGTTTGCGTTAAGATGTTTTTATATTGCTTGTTGTTCTCTTTTGTTTTTTTCAGAATATGTTTAAAACACGTTTCGAGGTATCTTTATTGTGGGTGACATTTCGCTCTTATTGTGAAGGCCGTGCGCAGTACTTCCGGCCGGATGTTAGCCGTTGGTGCTAGCTTGACTCGGCTCGGAGTCTTCCTGGTTCTCGTCTTCTCTCCTGCTGGTTTCTAAACAAACAAAGAGTTCAGCTGAAGCTCAGGAACTTCTCCTCGTGCTCAGACACATTTTAAAAGTCTCACTTTGATCCAAACGGAGTTTAAAGTCAGAAATCTGAAGCGACGACACTTTTAACCGAAACAAACAAACAGCAGCTGTTTCATCCAACATGAGACCGGAAGTCGTGTTTTTATCTGTTTTCATGGTTTTAACAGAAGCTGCTGTTTCTGCTCCATCAGAGAGTGAAGAGGAGCCTCTCGGTGAGTGTTTATTAATGTTTATTAATGTTTATTAATGTTTATTAATGTAGAATAAAAGCCTTTAATGTAGCGACGCTACGGAAGCCCAAAGCGAACAAACATCAGTTTATTATTTATTTCATGATTTTTCTCGTGATGACGTAAAGAAAACGTCGTCGTTGATGTTTGTCCTCTCTGGGCTGCCGTATGACATCATCAATATAAATTAAATCACGTTTACGTGTTGAAGTTAAAATAACGACTCAGAAAAAGAATCGTGACTTTAAAGGGTTAAAAGTGTTTTTACGTCATAATGACGACCACGAACACACCACGCCGCGTTGAACTTTTTCGTATGTTTCCCCTCAGCGGCGTCTCTCAGGTCCATGCTGGATGACTTCGACGTGCTGCCCCTCTCCAGCCTGCAGACGCACTCCGTCCGCCGCCGCGACGTCCAAACTCAGACTCACGTGGAGAAGCTGCTCAGCTTCGACGCCCTGCAGAGGTCAGAGGTCACGGCTCAGGTCGCTCAGGTGGTCAAAGAGACTCCGGGAAGTAACCGTGTGTTTTTGTCTGCAGGCACTTCAGACTTTACCTGAGGACCAACGACCAGCTGTTCACCCGCGACTTCAGAGCCGTGGTTGTGGACGAGGACGGCGAGGAGCGGAGCGTCTCAGTCAACAGACACAACTACTTCACGGGACACGTCATCGGTAACGCAGAGCGTGCAGAGAAACAGTCGTTTTTAAAGTTTTAACACGCCATTCTATGTTCGACGCCATTTAGGGTCGGTTTTTGTTTTTGTTTTCAGGAGAGGAAAACTCTCGAGTTCAGGCTCACATCGACGACCACGAGTTCTCCGCTCACATCCTGACCGACCACGGCGAGTACAACATCGAGGTGAGACGAACATCAGCATGCTAACGTGCTAACAAGCTAACGTGAAGACATAACGTTAGTTTATTAGCTTCTTCTTCTTTCTGTGTGAAGCCTCTCTGGAGGTTCACGTCGGCGCCCCCTGATGGTCGCCTCCTCATCTACCGCTCAGACGACATCAGAAACCTCAGCCGACTTCACCAGCCGTCAGTCTGCGGCTACGTGACCTCTGACCCTGACCTCCACCTCTCTGACGGCGTTCAGGATGAAGGTGAGAGACGAAACACTTCTGTTTAGATATCCTGATGAAAACGTTGTTTAACCCGACCGTGTGTTCAGGGTCGGCGCTGAGAGCGAAGCGTCACACCCACGACCACCTGAAGAACACGTGTCCTCTGCTGCTGGTCGCCGACCATCGCTTCTTCAAACACATGGGCCGAGAGGAGGAGAGCACCACCCTCAACTACCTGGTACGAAACATTCTCAACACCACCATGTTTGTTACCACGGAAACAAAGACAGAAGTCGATCTGTCGCCAACGTGTTCGTACCATGTGGACGGCGCCCTGTGTCTTTACTTTATCGTTTCGTTCCCTCCTGGTGAAAAACGTTTCTGTACTTCTCGATCTTCTCGTTTTCAGATCGAGCTGATCGACCGCGTGGACGACATCTACAGGAACACGTCGTGGGACGAGGAGTTCTCTGGTTACGGCGTTCAGATCCAGCAGGTGAGGTGCATGATGGGATATCACTTAATAACAGCTGTTAGGAAACGCTGACTCCCCTCCGTACTCAGATCATCATCGAGAAAAGTCCGACGGCGGTGACTGCAGGAAGAAAACATTTCAACATGAGAGGAAGTCCGGTAGAGGGACGCGACGTGTGGGACGTCAAGAAGCTGCTGGAGGTAAAAACGCCCGACCGAGACGATAACGACCCCGACCGAGACGATAACGACCCCGACCTCAAGGACTGAGACGATAACAACCCCGACCTCAAGGACTGAGACGATAACGACCCCGACCGAGACGATAACGACCTCAAAGACCGAGACGATAACGACCTCAAAGACTGAGACGATAACGACCCCGACCTCAAGGACTGAGACGATAACAACCCCGACCTCAAGGGCTGAGACGATAACGACCTCAAAGACCGAGACGATAACGACCCCGACCGAGACGATAACGCCCCTGACCGAGACGATAACGACCTCAAAGACCGAGACGATAACGACCCCGACCGAGACGATAACGCCCCCGACCGAGACGATAACGACCTCAAAGACCGAGACGATAACGACCTCAAAGACCGAGACGATAACGACCTCAAAGACCGAGACGATAACGACCCCGACCGAGACGATAACGACCCCGACCGAGACGATAACGACCCCGTTGAACGTGGCGTTCGTTTAACGCGGCGCTCGTTGTCATCTCTGCAGCAGTTCAGCGTGGACATCGCAGAGAAAGCCTCCAACGTCTGCCTCGCTCACCTCTTCACCTATCAGGACTTCGACGAGGGGACTCTGGGTCTCGCCTACGTCGCCCCGTCCAAACCGGATGTCCCGGGAGGTCTCTGTTCTAAAGGTGAGTCGCTCTGCCGCTTCCTCGAGTCTAAAGGTGAGTCGCTCTGCCGCTTCCTCGAGTCTAAAGGTGAGTCGCTCTGCCGCTTCCTCGAGTCTAAAGGTGAGTCGCTCTGCCGTTTCCTCGAGTCTAAAGGTGAGTCGCTCTGCCGCTTCCTCGAGTCTAAAGGTGAGTCGCTCTGCCTCTTCCTCGAGTCTAAAGGTGAGTCGCTCTGCCGCTTCCTCGAGTCTAAAGGTGAGTCGCTCTGCCGTCTTCCTCGAGTCTAAAGGTGAGTCGCTCTGCCTCTTCCTCGAGTCTAAAGGTGAGTCGCTCTGCCTCTTCCTCGAGTCTAAAGGTGAGTCGCTCTGCCGCTTCCTCGAGTCTAAAGGTGAGTCGCTCTGCCTCTTCCTCGAGTCTAAAGGTGAGTCGCTCTGCCTCTTCCTCGAGTCTAAAGGTGAGTCGCTCTGCCTCTTCCTCGAGTCTAAAGGTGAGTCGCTCTGCCTCTTCCTCGAGTCTAAAGGTGAGTCGCTCTGCCTCTTCCTCGAGTCTAAAGGTGAGTCGCTCTCCACAAATGTTTTATAGGAAGGTCTGGAGACTCGCTAGGCCACTCCATGACCTGAATGTTCTTCTTCTTGAGCCACTGCTTTGTTGCCTTGGCCGTATGTTTCGGGTCGTTGTCATCCTCAGTGCTCTGGCTGAGGAAAGGAGGTTCTCGTACAAGATCTGACGTTACATGTCCCCATCCATTGGCCCCTCAATGTGGTGAAGTCGTCCTGTACCCTTAGCAGAGAAACATCCCATAATGTTTCCTCCTCCATGCTTGACGGTGTTCTTGGGTTGGTATTCAGCATTTCTCTCCCTCCAAACACAACAACTCGAGTTTATGCCAAATAGTTACATTTTGGTCTCATCTGACCACATCACCTTTTCCCAAGCCTTCTCTGACTCACGTTGTTCATTGACTTCGACGGGCCAGTACATGAGCCTTCCTGAGCATGGGGCCCTTACGGGCACTGCAGGATTTAAATCCATTATGGCAATCCATTAGCTGCCTTGAGATCATTACAAAGCTTCTGCTGTGTAGTTCTGGGCTGATCCCTCACCCTTCTCATGATCATCCTTACCCCATGAGGCGAGATCTTGCATGGAGCTCCAGACAGAGGGCGATTGATGGTTATTTTAAATGTCTTCCATTTTCTTCCACCAACAGTTTCTCCTTCTCACCAAGCTTCTTGCTGATGGTCTTGTAGCCCATTCCAGCCTTGTGCAGGTCTACAATCTTGTCCCTGATGTCCTTTAAATGTTCTTTGGTCTTGCCCATGGTGTTGGAGTGGTTGGGAAGGAAGAGATTGATTCTGTTGACATGTGTCTTTTATACCCATAACGAGCAGTGATTGGGAGAACTTTCTTAAAGTGACAGGACTAATCTGAGTGCCTCCCGGGCACTTTACTGGTCTGTGGGAGCCAGAATTTGTGTTGGTTTGTAGGGGATCAAATACTTATTTCCTTCAATCAAATGCAAATTAACTTATAACTTTAGACAATGTTTTTTTTCTGGACTTCTTTTTTTATATTTTATCTCTTTATTAAAATAAAAGTAACATAAAGATTATAGACCGCTCACTTCTTGATAATCGGTCAAACTTACAAAATCAGCAGGGGATCAAATAATATTTCCTCCAGTGTACGTAACGTGACGTGTTCTCTTTTGAAGCCTGTCCGTCATCCACAAACGAACAGCGAGCGATCTACCTGAACACGGGCCTGACCAGCACCAAGAACTACGGGAAGACCATTCTCACTAAGGTGTGTTGGGGGGTTAGGTTAGGTCTGAAGGTCGTCAGCTGTTCCTCGCTGCTCTAACCTGTTGTCCACAGGAAGCCGACCTGGTGACCACGCACGAGCTGGGTCATAACTTCGGAGCGGAACACGACCCCGACAACATCCCGTACTGCGCCCCACGGGAGGACCAGGGCGGGAAATACGTCATGTACCCCATCGCTGTGAGCGGAGACCACGTCAACAACAAAGTGCGGGATCTTTTCTCTCACAGGTTTCTATTGGTCGGTTTAAAGCTGAGTGACGTCTCTTTGTCCAGTTGTTCTCAGACTGCAGCAAACGCTCCATCGTGAAGCGTCTGAGGTTCAAGTCTCCGACCTGCTTCAAGCAGAGGAACATCAACGTGTGCGGGAACTCCCGGGTGGAGCAGGGCGAGGAGTGTGACCCAGGGCTGCTGCACATCAACTCAGACCACTGCTGCACCACCGACTGCAGGCTGAGAGCCGGAGCTCAGTGCAGGTGAGACTGCAGTTCCTCCAGTGTCCACTAGAGTCTGTCTCCTGCAGTGAGTCAGTCCCCATAGAGCTCTATGTTAAAATGTTTAACTTTACAGCTGCAGTTCCTCCAGTGTCCACTAGAGTCTGTCTCCTGCAGCGAGTCAGTCTCCATAGAGCTCTATGTTAAAATGTCTAACTTTACAGCTGCAGTTCCTCCAGTGTCCACTAGAGTCTGTCTCCTGCAGTGAGTCAGTCCCCATAGAGCTCTATGTTAAAATGTCTAACTTTACAGCTGCAGTTCCTCCAGTGTCCACTAGAGTCTGTCTCCTGCAGTGAGTCAGTCCTCATAGAGCTCTATGTTAAAATGTCTAACTTTACAGCTGCAGTTCCTCCAGTGTCCACTAGAGTCTGTCTCCTGCAGCGAGTCAGTCTCCATAGAGCTCTATGTTAAAATGTTTAACTTTACAGCTGCAGTTCCTCCAGTGTCCACTAGAGTCTGTCTCCTGCAGCGAGTCAGTCTCCATAGAGCTCTATGTTAAAATGTTAGGGGTTAGTTAGGGACGTTTTTTGTCCTTCTTACTGACCGTCTCTTTTCCGTCTCTCGTGTTTAGCGACAGGAACAGTGCGTGCTGTAAGAACTGTATGTTTGAGTCTGAAGGTGAAGTCTGCCAGGAGCCCATCGACGCCACCTGTAAAGGACACTCGTACTGCACAGGTGAGCACACGGGAAAGACGAGGGAGTGACCGTGGAGTGACCGTGTGGCGGTGAGCGTGCTCAGACTGACCCGTTTGTGTCCACAGGAAACAGCAGCGAGTGTCCTCCTCCAGAGAACGCTGCAGATCAAACCGTGTGTCTGGACAGCGGGGAGTGTCTGAACGGAGAGTGCGTCCCGTTCTGTCAGGCCGTCTTAAAGCTGCCGCCCTGCGCCTGCAACGGTACGACAGTTTACCTTTAAGTCGTCAGACGCAAGGCGAACATGGAGCGTGACTCTGAGATCAGAAACTGAACACGATTTATTGAACTCTGAATCGTGTTTCTTCTTCTTCTCTGCAGAAACCAACTCGTCGTGTAAAGTCTGCTGTCGGAGCAGCAGCGGCGCCTGCACCCCCTACCAGGACCAAATGGGTAACTTCCTGTTCCTGCGTAAAGGCAAACCGTGCACGGTGGGCTTTTGTGACGGAGCGGTGAGTTCCCCCCCCCCCCCCCCCCCCCCACCCCCTCCCCTGCAGTGTAAAGCTCTACCTGACAGGTGTGTGCCTCTCTGCAGGGGAAGTGCATGAAGCAGGTGCAGGACGTAATCGAGCGTCTCTGGGACTTCATCGATAAACTCGACATCAACACGTTTGGGAAGTTTCTGGCTGACAACATCGTGGGTTCAGTGGTGGCGTTCTCTCTGCTCTTCTGGATCCCCTTCAGCATCCTGGTCCACTGTGTGGTACGATCATGTTTCTGATATCCCAGCTGAGCCTGAACACATCGCTCATTCTTTAATGTTTTCACATTAATGATGGTTAAATAACGTCTGTCAGCGCTCTAATATCCCAGCTGAGCCTGAAGTGTCGTGGTCAGTGGTCTGGAGTGTTTCCAGTTATCAGATTATATTAATATAAACAACAAAATGTCAGCCAATCACAGCTTGTGTATAACAACGTAAACACATAATGTGACGCGTCTCTGTTTTCTCTTCAGGACCAGAAGCTGGATCATCAATACGACCAGAACACCAAGTCTCTGTTGTTCCCCAGCGTGAGTCACAACCCGGGGGGGGGGAGGGGTCAGGGGTCAGGGGTCAGATCTCAGACTCCAGAAGAGATTTTTCTTCTTCACGTGTTTGGCCTGTTCCTTTAATGTTGTGACTCTTCACTTTCCCAGAATGCCGAGCTCCTGAGCAGCCTGGAGTCTGCGTCTGTTCGGATCTTCAAACCTCCAACCTTCCCAAGCTCCGCCTCCTCCGCCGGGCTTCGTTTCCAGCCATGTGACCCCCAGCAGACCAGCACCCCTCCAGGCTCCGCCCCCTTCCCAGGCCACCCCCCTCTGGACCCCCGCATGGCCACCATCCAGGAGGACCCCAGCTTGGACTCTCACCTGGACCAGGAGGCTCTGGAGGAGGCGTTTGGGAGGCCGGCGAGGGCGCCACAGCGCTCCTTTGAGGATCTGACGGAGAAAGGCGTGGCGAGCTGCAGCGAGAAGGCGTTGATGTTCAGACTGAAGAGACAACATCAGATCGACAGCAAGGAGACGCAGTGCTGAGACACCTGAGTGAACGTGCAGGCAGCCACCAGGCGGGGGCGCCGTTAGGTGTTTCATGTTCCTCCACTAAGGCGCCGTGTTTCTATAAAACTCAAGGGTGGCGCCACGTTTAACGCCAAACGAGAGAAACAAAAGAACAAGAGATCAAGACTCCGCCTCCTCGAGTCGCCAACAGGAAGCCAGAACAAACCGCCAGTCTTTGTCTGACCACGCAGAGGGGCGTTATACGTCTCTTTGTTTTAATGATTAAAAATGGCCGCCATGCTGCTCTGGTGACGTGCGTTAGAAAAGTTCAGTCATTTTTAGTTCCAGGTTAAAACACTTCAGGGGGACGCAATCACTGCCGCTCCACAGGAAGTCAGGAGGAAACAGGAAGTCAGGGCTCTGCAGGAACCTCAGAAACTGTGGGTGCGTTAGGAAAGTTAATGATAAGAGCCGTTAAGGAAAGGTGGGTCAATGCTTCCTTTATAACCTCCTTTAGGATACACTGGACCATCCTTTAGGAAAGGAGATGAGATATGACCTCCCACAATTCCTTGCGCCGCAACATTTAAAGCGACTCGCTCATCTGACCGTTCAGGAACATTAACACAGATGATGTTTCATTCAGTTCAGAATGTTTGGTGCATTTCTTCAGTTGTACATTCTTATCTTTCATAAATGTAATAATTAATTTCATCTTTATGTTGATGTTGATTTCTGATTGGACAGGAAGCTGATGGTTTCACTTTTCTTACTTGTAGCCTGGTCGTCTATATTTCTTTTATTTCAGGATTATTTCACCGGTAAGAAGCACAGGGGAAAGTTTTGTAGATGATCTTTTTGTAGTCCATTTTCTGAACATTGTAGTTTCAACACAGCAGACCCACGTCATTAACCTCCGCCGGCCCGTCACATTTAATGACGTGGCCTAGTGGAAATGTGGTCAGAGCAACGAGATCTCCTTTCCTTAAGTCCTTTATGACTTCTCCTAACATCTTTCCTTGACCTCATGACCTTTTCCCCGGGTTAAGGTGAAGTGGATAGTGAAGGAGACAGGAGGGACAATTCAAACACACACCCAGGAAGTCAGGAGGAAACAGGAAGTCAGGGTTTCTTTATAAACATTTATCAGAATATAAATATATTTTTATACGACTGTGTGTCCATATTGATCTGTTCTGTGTTATGTCATCATGTTGACCAGCCAATCAGTGAGCTGTTTGTATTTTTTGTTGATAATAAAGTTGTTGATCTTTGATGGCGTTCTGTTCCTCGTCCTTCTAAAGGTGGTCACACTCGACTCGATGGCGTTCCACGAGTCTCTGTGTCGTTAGCTAAAACCTGACGATCAGAATCCTCTTTCTGCATAATTTAAACACTTTGATGTTCTCGAGTCCAGACGAGTACCCTTCCTGCTCCGCTGGTTCAGCTAACCACCGATTTCATCTGATGTGTAGAGTCTAAACATCAGGGGGCGGAGTCTAGACTACTACTCTTCTTGTTGTCTTCTCACAGAAAACGTAAACAATAATGGATGAGATGTTTAAAGAAACAGAGTCACTGAATGTTTATTATTGTTTCACAGACACGTTACAGAAACACAAAATCAGGTGCAGGTCGGCGCTCAGGTCGGCGCTCCGCCTCCTCAGAGATTCCTTTGGAATCAGTTTGAAACAAAGTGTTTAAAAAAACACAAACAGAAGAAAGTTTCATATCAAACTGTCACTCAGCAGCTGACTGGGGACGCTGATGACATCACTGACAGGAGGCGGGCGCCCCCTGCTGGTGACATCACAGGTGGGGCTGAGGGCGTCATAGAGACGGTGGACAGCGACCTCGACCATCTCTCTCAAGGACTCATCTTCTGCACACGACACGGCCTGCAGGGCGAGACACAGAATCAAAAACCTTTATTTCAGCCTACGTAAACATTTCAACATCCAATAGACAAATGTCCTTAAAGGCCACCGTACCAAGACGGGTACAGACAGGAGGTCTCACTCTGTCACTATTTCATACTGGGTGAAGACAGGAGGTCTCACTCTGTCACTATTTTGTACTCACTTTGGTTTCGGTGTCAATGAGGACGGTGACTCCGTCCACCGTCACGCTCAGGTTTTGACCGTCTTTGAAGTTGACGCAGTCGTCTCCGAACATGTCGCTGAAACAGAAAGCAAAACCGTCTGTTTCCTCCCATCATGCATCACTTCTCTAATACGTGCTGTAATAAAATATAAAGGTTTCAACCTCGATAAATATTTATTCCTTTAAAAAGGACTTTTTGCATTAAACTTTATTTAAATGTGTGAACAAAGACAAACTCTCTTTTGGTTAGTGTTGATAAACCCGCCCCCTCCCCGCAGGTGAACTTACTGCAGCATGAGTCCGAGTCTCTCTACGAACACGTCCACGTCGAAGGTGTCTCTCTTTCCTTCGAGGACTGAAAACGTTAAAGAGTTAAAAACATGAGAGCTCTGTTCCCGTCACTTTGACATTTACACCTTCTTCTGTTTTCTTACATTTCTGAGCGTTGGGGTTGGATTGGACCTCCAGGACCACCGTAGTGACCACATCAGCGTACATGTCGTTGAGCGGGTTGGCGATCCACTGAAGACAAAAAAAGATTCAAAATGAAAAACAGAAAAAAGTTTCACTTTGAAGTTGAAAATTACAAACGAGTTTGAAGAATGTCAACGGGACGGAGCGCGATGAAACAGCGTTCAGGGTTAGGGTAACCTGACCTCCAGCAGCACCATGCCCGCCTCGTGAACCAGAGTGATGCTCTTAAAGATCCGGATGGTGATTTTCTCCGTCCCCTCCACCTGCTCCACGTCTCCTACAAACACACGTCCATCAGGTCAAAACAGAGACTTCTCACGAACATTAAATAAATTAAGAACGCTAACGGTGACCGACCTGCGAGGCTGCGGAGCTGACTGACCAGCAGCGAGATGGGCCCGGTGTACGGGATGGCCTGAGTCTGCGTCACGGTGCCCATAGACAGATCTGTGTAGTCTGAGCAAAGACAGGACGCCATCAAACACGGGAAAAACAACAGCACCTAAATACAACACGAGGACACCTCCAAAACATTCCTACCCTCAAGGTTCCCGCTCTTTTTCAGCGATGATCCAGCTGACACCGATAAGAAGGTTAACCACGCCCCTGAGCTAACGCTGGTTAAACATTTCACTTCATGTAAAAGGACCGTTAGCGAGTATTCAGCCCATGTTTGACCGTTAAACGCTGTTCCCTATTGACGTTTATCAAACGTATGAAAAAGTTTTATTTCAGTCTCAGTTTTGTCAGAACGCAGACAGCAGCTAGGTTAGCACGCCATCATTAATGTTAGCTAACTACTGCTAATGACCTCAAAAGTCTACCTGAAAGGCGCTATTCACAGGACGGTCCTCAAATAACCAAACAGGACAGTGCTCAAATAACAGGACGGTCCTCAAATAACCAAACAGGACGGTGCTCAAATAACCAAACAGGACGGTCCTCAAATAACAGGACGATCCTCAAATAACCAAACAGGACGGTCCTCAAATAACAGGACGATCCTCAAATAACCAAACAGGACGGTCCTCAAATAACCAAACAGGACGGTCCTCAAATAACAGGACGGTCCTCAAATAACAGGACGGTCCTCAAATAACCAAACAGGACGGTGCTCAAATAACAGGACGGTCCTCAAATAACCAAACAGGACGGTGCTCAAATAACAGGACGGTCCTCAAATAACCAAAAAGGACGGTCCTGAAATAACAGGACGGTCCTCAAATAACCAAACAGGACGGTCCTCAAATAACAGGACGGTGCTCAAATAACCAAACAGGACGGTGCTCAAATAACCAAACAGGACGGTGCTCAAATAACAGGACGGTCCTCAAATAACCAAACAGGACGGTCCTCAAATAACCAAACAGGACGGTGCTCAAATAACAGGACGGTCCTCAAATAACCAAAAGGACGGTCCTTAAATAACAGGACGGTCCTCAAATAACCAAACAGGACGGTCCTCAAATAACAGGACGGTCCTCAAATAACCAAACAGGACGGTGCTCAAATAACAGGACGGTCCTCAAATAACCAAACAGGACGGTCCTGAAATAACAGGACGGTCCTCAAATAACCAAACAGGACGGTCCTCAAATAACCAAACAGGACGGTGCTCAAATAACCAAACAGGACGGTGCTCAAATAACCAAACAGGACGGTGCTCAAATAACAGGACGGTCCTCAAATAACCAAACAGGACGGTCCTCAAATAACCAAACAGGACGGTGCTCAAATAACCAAACAGGACGGTGCTCAAATAACAGGACGGTCCTCAAATAACCAAACAGGACGGTCCTCAAATAACCAAACAGGACGGTGCTCAAATAACAGGACGGTCCTCAAATAACCAAAAGGACGGTCCTTAAATAACAGGACGGTCCTCAAATAACCAAACAGGACGGTCCTCAAATAACAGGACGGTCCTCAAATAACCAAACAGGACGGTGCTCAAATAACAGGACGGTCCTCAAATAACCAAACAGGACGGTCCTGAAATAACAGGACGGTCCTCAAATAACCAAACAGGACGGTGCTCAAATAACAGGACGGTCCTCAAATAACCAAACAGGACGGTCCTCAAATAACCAAACAGGACGGTCCTCAAATAACCAAACAGGACGTGCTCAAATAACAGGACGGTCCTCAAATAACCAAACAGGACGGTCCTCAAATAACCAAACAGGACGGTCTCAAATAACAGGACGGTCCTCAAATAACCAAACAGGACGGTGCTCAAATAACAGGACGGTCCTCAAATAACCAAACAGGACGGTGCTCAAATAACAGGACGGTCCTCAAATAACCAAACAGGACGGTCCAAATAACAGGACGGTCCTCAAATAACCAAACAGGACGGTGCTCAAATAACAGGACGGTCCTCAAATAACCAAACAGGACGGTCCTTAAATAACAGGACGGTCCTCAAATAACCAAACAGGACGGTCCTCAAATAACAGGACGGTCCTCAAATAACCAAACAGGACGGTGCTCAAATAACAGGACGGTCCTCAAATAACCAAACAGGACGGTCCTGAAATAACAGGACGGTCCTCAAATAACCAAACAGGACGGTGCTCAAATAACAGGACGGTCCTCAAATAACCAAACAGGACGGTCCTCAAATAACCAAACAGGACGGTCCTCAAATAACCAAACAGGACAGTGCTCAAATAACAGGACGGTCCTCAAATAACCAAACAGGACGGTCCTCAAATAACCAAACAGGACGGTGCTCAAATAACCAAACAGGACGGTGCTCAAATAACAGGACGGTCCTCAAATAACCAAACAGGACGGTCCTCAAATAACCAAACAGGACGGTGCTCAAATAACCAAACAGGACGGTCCTGAAATAACAGGACGGTCCTCAAATAACCAAACAGGACGGTCCTCAAATAACCAAACAGGACGGTGCTCAAATAACCAAACAGGACGGTGCTCAAATAACCAAACAGGACGGTCCTCAAATAACCAAACAGGACGGTGCTCAAATAACCAAACAGGACGGTGCTCAAATAACAGGACGGTCCTCAAATAACCAAACAGGACGGTCCTCAAATAACCAAACAGGACGGTGCTCAAATAACAGGACGGTCCTCAAATAACCAAACAGGACGGTCCTCAAATAACCAAACAGGACGGTCCTCAAATAACCAAAC